CGAGTGGGAGGCTCCACCTCTGGTGGAGAGAGGACGGCTGACCCCCCACGTGAACAAGCAGGGGCTCTCGCACAACGCCGTGCCATGAAAGAAGACAAGGAGGCTAAGGTGAGTGGTTGGGTGGGAGGTGGGGAGAAGTTCTACTTCAGTGAGGGGCCAGCAAGGGCCAACGGGATGACTGAGACATGCACAGTGAGGAAGAACAGGCCACACTAGGACACCCAGTGAAAGTCTGAGGCTGGGCATCATTTTGAGCTAGAAAATGCACCTCAAACTTAAACATGAGAAATCACAAGCACAGAAGGATAACACCACAGCCCAGCAAGACCCATACACGCCAGGGGAGGAGCCGTGCCTCAAGGGAGGAGACAGGGGTGGCTCTGGGACAAAGCCCCAGGGATCCAATTGTCTAAAGCGCTTAAACTGAGACCTGAGGGGTAGAGGGTATCACTGGAGGGCCAAGCAGGAACTCTGAAATAGCAACTCCTAGATTTCTGTGAAATGCCTGTTAACACGCCAGACCCACCATCTGCACGGTAGCTATACTTAGAGCCATAAAAATAACAACCCTTACATTCATGCTTTAGGTATGGCGAAGCTTCATTTAAAAAACTAAATATTGCAGCTGTCTCTTCTCCCAGGATGCCGCGCATGCAGATGCATGCGACAGGTGAAGCTTGCCTCCTTGGCAGTGTTTCGGGCTGGCGGAGCCGACCTGGACGGCCCGCGGGTTGCTGACTGTGCAAGCCTTTCCAACTTCAGCTCTAGCTGGAAAACACGGGAACAGCACCTGCCCCACTGCCACCAGGGAGCTGCTGAGATGAGGAGAAAGCTTAGTAAACTGAAAACACCCAAAATGTAAGCGGGAAGGATGTTTCTGGGGGAAAAAACGTGATGTTCAAGACGGAATGACACTGGTCCCACTTCCCAGGTTGATTTCCAAAGCCTGTCATACACACATGTGCATCTCTCCCGAGAGCCGTGCCTCCCCAACACCATCCCTCAGAGCACTGAAAGAACATTCTGGAGTGGAATTCCTTTCCTTTCTATTCATCCAGATCCCACACACAACCCAGTTCAAGTTCTGCTTCTCTCCTTAAGCCTGCCTCAAGGCTGTCCTGCCTTCTACCTGGGGAAATTCCCCTCCCTCCCTCTAAAGGAGGAGGTCTCGGTTGGGTGTAGACACAGGACGGGGGCAGGAGGCCCGTGGAGACGGGAACAGAAGAGCGCACGGAGCGGTGGCAGCCACACAAGGCTGAAAGTGGGGTGCTGCAGGAGTCACCGGGAGGGCAACCTTTGAGGGCGTCAAGGTCACAGCAGGCCTCTTGGACCCGTGACTATAAGCAGAAGTCTTAAATGAGTGGTGCCAGTTTCTGGGGGAACATGCCAGACAGAAATTCCAGCTCAGAGAAAGGTCCTAAACTGGGACAGAACCGGGTGTGCTCAGCGTCCACTGGCCAAAGGGGAGAGTCGCAGGGAAGAATGAGGAAGAAGGGACATTTTTCCAGTACCGTGACTTCCCACTCAAGACACAGTGTGTCTCATGTCTTTTTTGTTGCCTGCCTGTGAAGCTCAGTGTTCTCTTTATTTAGGAATCGCACGTGTTGGTTTCCCGGAGCTGCCCAACGCTGGGGGGCTTCCGGCAGGCACGGAGGCTCTCACAGTTCTGGAGGCTCGAAGTCTCAAACAAGGCGTCAGCGGGGTCGTGATGTCTCTGAAGACTCCTTCCTTGCCACTTCCAGCCTATCAGCCGGCCTTGCCACCCCTCGGCTTATGGCTGTTTTGCTCCATCCTCTATGTTGTCATTGTCCCTAGGTCTCCCTAGGTCTCGGTCTCCAAACCTCCCTCTCTTTATAAGGACACAGGTCATAGGGCAATGGCCCATCGTAACCCAGTATGACCTCATCTTAACTAATTACATCTGCAAAGGCCCCATTTCCCAGCAAGGTCACATTTGCAGGTTCAGGATTGGCATGACTTCAGGGGTGGGGGTGGGAGGCTATATAGCACATTTCTTGATAGGTTTTCTTCCCTGATGAGGGCAGCGAAAGGCCATGTGGCAGGGGGGTTAAAAATAAGCTCTGGAGTCAGGCTTTCTGGCTCTACAACTCTCTGACCGTGGGCCCAAAGCAAGGTTCTAACCTCTGCAAGGCGACGCTGCCTCATCTGGGAATGATAATGGCAGCTACCCTGAAACCCAGTGAGGAGTAAATGAATTCAGGTACGCTAGATGCACTGTAAACGCGTCCTATTTCTGTTCTCAGGTAGGTTGTAACTGGACACCGCTTCGAATGGCACCTCCTCTCCACTGTGTTCTCTAATTGGTTACTGCTGGCGATTAGGGAAACTATCGCTTCTGTACAGTGATCTCCTAACTGCCATCCTACTAAATTCTGATTATTTTCCAGTGGTTTCTCCTCCATTTCCTTGGTAGCCATCACATCAGCTTTAAGGTCCCCTCCCCCCCAAATACCGGCACGTGACACTAAAGGACAGTGGAACTCCATGCATGTCTGCAGGGAGAAATGTTTCGGAAGCCCCTCATATACATGTCCACGACCAGAGATGGGTTTAGACGTTCTGCCTCATGCTCACGACAGGATGAAATGTGTGTATTTTCTTTATTGTCATGTCGTTTGATCCAGTGGACAGAGTCAGTTTTCAGTCCCGATGGACTCCCACCGTGTACAATGCCTGGTAGACAGTACAGGGCTTGTACTCCTAACCTTGTGAGCAGCTCCTCTGCACTCAAAACGCCTGACACAGGGAAGGAAGGCAGGCGCTGCTCGGGGAGAACCCTATCTCATGACTTTGCTAGCTGTTCTTTTTCCAGATCTAATCAAGGAAGGGCCCAGAATTATTCTGGAATGCCACTCTTTCAGCCTGCATTTAAAATGACTTAGTTATATGGACAAAGTTCTCAAAGACCTCTACCTAAATTAAGCCACTAAAAGACATAGGAAAGCTTACAGACACCTGTAAAATCTGAACGCCATCCCGTCAGATAACTTCTGAGCTCATTTCTTACTGTCGTAGATTCTTCCAGAGGCCTTCGGCAAAGCCTACAATGGAAAACCCAGTGGCCAAGACAAATCCGCACCTGAGTGCTTGTGGCCCAGAGAGGCACGACGCAGACACACAGTGCCCTCCAAAGACTTTCAATTGAGAGACAACCAAGAGCGGACCATGTCAGTGCGGGTCACGGAACTCTTGAAGCTTCTAACGGAAAGGGACTCCGTATTCCTTTAGCAGCTTCACAAATACAAACTTGATAAAAAAATCAAACAGGAACACTGGAAACGAAGTCCCCTGAATCGGTCAGGTCCACAACCCATCACCCATTTTGTGACTGCAAGCACATTTCTACAACTCCCTCATTCATACTGAGACGGGGGGCTGGGGGGAGCATTTGTTTTTAGATGGAATAGCTCTAGTAAGGTTCTGCATTAACAGCAAATCCTGACCTTAATGAAGTTGCGTGTAGCATTTTCCTTGCAATCCATATAGTTTAAAAAATAAATCTCAAGCCTCCTTTTCCCGTTTCAGCTTGAGGGCGTGTTTCTGATCTCTTCTCTTTTTCCACAAGGATATGGGCTCTCTCTGGCTGGCCTCTCAAACGACGATCCATGCTTCTAAGATCCACCCAACAAAGTCTTGAAATGTTGACTCCAATGAAGTCAAAGGGGATCAAGTTATTGAAATAAAATAAGGTATCAATATAAAGTGACAATATAAAAGTATCCACATAAAATTCTCTGAGAGGTCTCTCTCATGCAACATCTTAATAAGAGGTGTTGAGTATTCTTGTGAATTGCTCAAGACTCAAATGGACTAAGAACACCTTACATTGCTCTTGCAAAGAAATGGTTCGCACTCAAACAGCCATAAAACCTGTGGAATTTTATCTCAATAAGGTATTCAAAAAAATGCAGCAGGAAGGCACTATTTGTTCTATGTATTTATTTATTTAACACTTATTAAGTACCTACAACGAACCAGGAATTATATTTTATTGTTTAAAAAATTCAAAGCTGTAAAATATGGCCCCAGGTGAGAGGTTACCAAAAGCAGCCGGATAGGATCAGAATTGCTCACTGCCAAAATTCTGCTTTGCAGTTCTGCTGAGGATCAAAATCCCCAGAACCAAGGGAAACCCCAAGATGGAGTTGCCCCTGCCAAAGACCAAGAGAAGGAAATCGGGAGAGCCAGCCCAGGAGAAGAGCCAGACGACGGGCACGAGGCTCTGACACCGGCCTCACCTAGTGCGTTAAGGCATCAGAGCACATCTTGGATCTTGGCAGGATCTCCCACCTTGCCCTCTAATTTGGTTCTAAATCCCTGACTTCTTTCCCTTTTCCTAGTGGGGGTGGGGGAAGTAAAACAAATCAAAAAATTTCACTGGGATATATACTTATTGTCCCAATGACTTTATTCGTTAAGTCTAATCTAAAATTAAAGTCAACAAAATGCGTTGTTTTCTTCATCCTCCATTAATGAGAACTGTCCATTCAAAAACTACACTAAGACAATGTCATCCCAAATAGCAATCCGGCTTTAACTGTAGGGCATTGAATCACCTTGCAAACAAATTACAGTCACTGTGATTTACCAATGTTACTGTACTGGGTGTTCTTGGGGTTTCTTTTTGGCAAACTTAGAACAAACCAGAGAACAAAATTTAAGTCTTCATCATCATGTAGAAAAATAAAATAAACAAACCTAAAGTATCTACCTATGTGTCAAGTGATTCATACTGCAAAACTAAAATCTACACTTACAGCAGAGTTTTAAAAATCCTCAGTGCAAGAAACATAACCAATTAATACAGATCAATACTTATTAATGAATATGGGAAATTTCCCTATACAGAGGTAGAGTCCAGTGCACAAGGCTAAAACAATATTCAATAGTCTAAACAAGACTGAGTCAGGTTTTACAGAATCCACTTCAAATTTTAAGTTATCAGACTGTATGTACATACATACAATAAATAGACTATACAATTTTTTAAAGTAGTTTAATAAACTCCACAAAATAATAGCAGATGCATTGAAATATTTACATAATTCAATTTTCAAATCTCTCTCATTCAAATAAAAGGGATAAAAATAAGCTTTCTGCTTTAAAGGCAGCAGAACCTCTTTCCTGAAATGGATCGGTAAAATAAGATACTTTACATGAGAGGAACTAATTTATGCTTGAGAGGTATTCATATTCAGCTAAGAAAATATGTCCCTTTTTAAGCTATATAGATTAGGGAATATAAAATGATATTTTCTACATTTTTAGATCTCTATTTAAAGTTCTAAATCCGACTCTTACTTGAAGAGAGAAGCTGATTTTGGTACCCATACAGAGTATATCAACACCATAATAATGGAAAGATAATTAACTTTTCAGATTCTGTTGTCGGCTTTTGAAAGTTTAGGCCAGAAAGACCTTGACAATATTTCTGGTCCAACCAGTTGTTTACACATGATACAAATCTCACTGAAACCTGACTAGCACTTTTGGCCTGGGGATCCTGGGATTTCAACTTTCTGAGTCTCTTCCGTTTCCAAAGTATGTTTCATCAGAAGCAGGCATGTTTGAGGATCAGGTGTAGGACGTTAGGGTACCCAAGACTAATACCCCAAAGTTCTCCACATTCACAGAGGAAGAAGGTGAAACACAGAGCATCTGCTGCCATTCGCCTCGCAGAGACTTGAAAAGGGAGAAAACTTAGAAGCCTGTCATTGTGACCCAAGAAAATACGCAAAAACCCAAAGCATTATATGCTTCGTTGACTCAGATTCTTAGACTTAGTATCCACTTTACTCTGATATTCTATCATTAACCCTTTTATTTTACTTGATAAAAAAGATTCTCATCTAGCCCACAAGGAAATTAGGGATAATCAGAAAATGAAAAAGTACGGTCATAATTAATGAAGCATAAACCTTCACAGTTTGAATTTTGTGTAACTTCGCTAAGCACCCACAATGAATATGCAAGTTGAGTTTTTTATTCAATTATCCTGTGAAAAATACCTCAGTAAATAGTAACATTTTGCCCTTCAATGATCTTCCCACTGGAATAACCCACCCCCCCCTTTTTTTTTAATTTTAGATTTTTAAAAAATTTTTATACAAATAGACTAACTTTGATTTAAAGTAAACATATAAAAGTTGAGAAGAATATTGCTTGCAACAATGGACATGGAAGTAGACGAATGAGCTGGGCAGGGGGTACAGAGAAATGGCTCCTACTCAGTAACTGCAGGCAGACACCTAGCACTCTAGAAAAAACTTCACCCAGAGGACACCCTCCACTGCACACGGTTTCCTTCAGCCCACAAAATCTGACTGATTTGTAACTACGACCTCAGGTCGGAGAAAAAAAAAAAAAAAACAACTGTGAATAAATTGGAAGGCACAAGCACCCATGTGATCTAGAATTTTCTCGGGGTGAGGAATAGGAGGGAAAGGGATACTTTTGGTTCAGCACTACAGTCAAGTTAATTTTGCCACCGTTGAAGAAAAACTGTATAAAATAAAGGCATACAGAAATATAACAAGCGCATCCCACTTGTGAGGAAGAAAGCTCAGAAGACAGCTCACAGGAATAGTGCAGAGAGAAACAACCAGTACTATTTATTTGGATGTCTGTGCCATGGTGGGTACAAACGATATTCTCTGCTTTGTGGGACCAAAACCAAAACAGAAACAAAACCAAAACAAAAATTCCCCCAAATCCCAAAAAAGCAGCTAGAAGGAATGCAAGAAGTCTTACAGAACATACTGATCCAGATGGAGGTGGATAAGCGCGCACTCTTGTCTTTAATGCACATCCGACTTTGTTACCTACTGCTGGGTTTTTCCATCATATTCATCTACTGACCAGACGGGGACTTAAGAAATGGCCAAGCCATTTCACCTTTTCTCTGCCTCTACACGACTTCCCTTTCCCTTTGTTTCCTTCTCCAGGATTAGAGTCTTTTTCCTCCTTGAGGGAAGTGCTGTTAATGACGATGGGGAAGGGCATGAAACGGGATTTCCAGAATACTGATTTCGCTTCCCTGGAGGCCTTACTGCGTGTGGGCCACACAGCTTGGAGGCGGTCATCAAGGCAGCCTGACAGAGCTATGAATTAAAAAAGGAAAGGAAAACAAAAACAAAACCACCCCAAGTCTGTCTTTTCTCAAACTAAAGGAGAAATGGAGGGATGGTGCGGCCTCCAGCGGGGCCCCCACGGTTAGGAGATGATGGCCGGGGACCACCTGGGCAGAGTCAGATTGTCAGCACTCGCTGACCGCTTCCTCGTGGGTCGACGCAGGTCCTTGTACTTGTCCTCACAGAGGCGAGAGATAGCCTGGGGGGCAAAAGAGAGACAATTCAGGTAAGGGCCAGCCTCTAAGTGCCCTCCACGCCCTCACTCATCGGACACCAGCCACTGCTGGGTACCAGCATGGTTCCAGGTGCTGAGGACACGTGGGGACAACACTGACAAGAGTTCCTACCCCGTGCAGTTTTCACGCTGTGGCCCAGAGCTGTGCCGCTCACAATGGGGGCCACAAAGGAAGTACAGATGCAGGCTCCGTCTCCAAAGTGCTTACGGTCTGAGAAAATCATCACAAAATGTACAACAGTTACAGGACAGTGTAGCCTGGGGCTCAGCTAGACGCAGGTTCGATGCTGGCTAACCACTCGGCAGGAGTAGGACCTGGGCCTGTGCCTAAGTCCCACATCCTCATCTGCAAAAGGGGCAAGGAGCACCCACCCACCTTGTGCAGTGGTAGTAACACACCACAGTTTCGTGCTGGGCCACACTGGGAGTCAGAGCCGCTGACCAAGTGTCTGAGTCAACTCTAGTCAACCGATGAAGAAAGGAACTGGGAGGGGCCAATGTAGCAAGGACAATCCACACTGCCCTCATTTTCTTGATGAAGACAGTGAGACTCTGGGGGGAGACCCTCAGCCAAGAGCAAGACTCAGCATTTCCTGGGGGGTCAGAGCCCAGTCCCAGCTCTTTCAGGGTTACTCCTGGGTGCAGGTTGAGAGCACATCAATGACAAAGTGGGAGCCAGCTCACATCACCCCAGATGTCTTGTCCTGGTCACATTCACCTTTCTTTCTGTCAAAATAACCCAGGAGTGGGGCTGACTTCACTTATGATGATGCAAACATGAGGTCTTTTAACTTGTATACAGTTCAAGCAATAGGCCAGGGACGAGGCAGGGGCTAGGAAAACACCTGGCAAGAAGTCACCATCAAGGAACAAAGGCACAAAAGCAGCAGACCCTGATCACATCATCATGGCTCTCACTGGAGTGACAATAATCATCCTTCCAGCAGCTCCCTTCAGCTAATAATCCTCCCTGCTTCCCCTTCAGCTAACTCTGTGATCTCCTCCCCCACATTCTCCTCCCACCTCACCCACCCCGCTCTGTGGCGGCCACTCCAATCCCCTTCAGCTGAGCCTGAGCTGGCTCCCACTGTAGGTTCCGAAGCAGCTCTTCCCTCAGGCTGGAGGTTTCTGCAAAGCTAAGACATCCCACGCTAGAGTCCTCAAGGAACCATGGCCAACTCAGTGAGGCTCCTGGCAACGGCAACCCCCGCCCCACTGCTGCTTTTGTGCTCACCTCCTAACACACTAGTTTATTATTATGTTTAATAAACTAGTATTACGTTTACTGTTTACTGTCTGTGTCCTCCCAGCAGAACGTAAACTCCAAAAAGCCAGCTTTGTTCACGATGGTGTCTGGTAACCGGTGCCTGGGATCAGGGGACCCTAAGTAAACAGGTGCCGAATGGATGTGTAAGCGCCGACCAAGACGAGCACGCAACAGGGGCATGCGCCTATCAGGCTATGGTCGAAGGACTGGGAACAGGGTGCTGACAACTGATTCTCATTTATTTTCCAAAACCCAGAACTGCACTTGGAACTGCAACTTCGGTGGCAGCTGGGAGCAGGGATTAGAAGAGAGAAACAGGAGTTGAGGACATCTTCCTCCAAATGACAGACGAATGAGGGCAGGAGATGGCCTAGAACACTGGGAATTCCCCATGTGAGACACATTTCACACACATAATGCAGGTGACACACTTTAAGAGAAAATCAGATCCCTCACAGACATGAGAGCCACGATTTTTGAAAGTAAATTATTTTCGTTTATTTAAACTCTCTGAGATGACTGTGTGTGGCTTCTCAGCTTATGAACAGTACACAGGTCTGAATGGAATATCATAATGATGAATGAGCAATGTACGATCATATTCTAGATTTCACGATGTAAACTCTGAGCTTTCACCCCATCTCCCATATGCATACAGAGATACTAACTTATGTCAAAGAGAAATTACCAGATTAATGAAAAGACCACTTTGCCTTGGTTCCTGGTGCACGCCAGCCTCCACACTCTACCTTGCACCTATCAAATCAGCCATGTGTACTATGCCTAAGCAGTACAGAGCTTCAGGTAAAGGCCACTTCGAGTACGTCTCACTCCCCCCTTGCTTTCCACAATGGGGTTCAAGTTTGCTAACCAAATGGACTAAGAGGGATGCTGGGGTCTGGAGAATAATGAAATCCCATTCCTTAAAAATTATTTCAAAGGGATGCCAAGTGCTTTTCCAGATAGAAGCACTAGCCTCCCACAGAGGAGCATCTCAAGAAGCTCCGATTCTCAGGCGGAGGGAGAACGCTCTTGTCAGGACTATGGGCCTTCGTCAGCCCAGTGAGCCCATGGAGCATTGGTGTGACAGCCCCAGGAGTAGGCGAGCACCCCCTCTTCTCATTCAGATAACCCGCCAGAGTTAACAGCAGGCACCAGCGAGCCCCGTGTCAGCCAGCCTGTGCACCCGCAGTGCAGAGCTGACCCACAACACCGGACGCTCTCCCTCGGAGAGCCACAGAGCTGCAGATGAAGGGGCTGCTTCCAGGAGCTCCACGCCCATGCCCTCGGCAGGACAACAGCCACTGGGCATGAGGGCTTCCGGGGCATGAGGGCTTCCGGGGCCTGCCGCTTGGGCTCAAACACAGCGCCTGCTCACTGTGAAATTGAATCCTATTTCATGTGTGTACCCGTGAGAGTCTGACAACACTTGTCTGGTTTTCCATTTCTTGCTTAAGAGAAATGGGAGATTTAACTGAGCAGCTGCTTCCTAACAGCCAGCACACAATTATAGTAAAGTGGCTGAGTTCAGAAAACCTCCCTGGGCTTTTATTTTAAACACTGTGTGCCATATCCAGTCTGTTCCACAGTTTTACTGAGTTTCTTCTTGGGACTGGCATACTATGTACTTTTTTACAATTTTATTTAAAATCTTGGCTTGTTTAAGCTTGCGAACCATAATAACCTCTTCCCCTGTATCTCTAGACTTTGTTTCACTCACAGCTATTAACTCTGTTAGACCAGCATGCTAGCCACCCTGACCCTGTACCGAATCAGGGGATAACGTGTCACTCAGATCGGACAGTAGGGCAGGCAGCACAGACCTCCTGGGTCTCACCAAGCTTGGGACATGACTGTACCATCTACTGCTTTGATCAAAGGGTCTATGGGATGCGACCACAACAGTGCCTGGGGATGAAGGTACAGAGAGCCTGGGTACCCCTTCTCTGGAGGAAGGGGTTCCACCAGTGATCCTCCTGGTCACCCCACAACTTTTCATCCAGTCACCAAGTCAGATGGGAAGTGCTAGGTGCAAATATGAAGCTGAGCTATGTACACAAGTCATGAGCACAGAAGGTAAACAGCTTAACACTGATGACCCCAAATCCAGACCAAGACCCATGGGGCTAGCCCCAGCTCTAACTGGGCTGTGGGGAATAAAAAATAAAAAGCAGAATATACAAACTGAGGGTTGCTGGGTGGTGGGGGAGGAGGGACAGGGTGGCTGGATTATGGACACTGGGGAGGGTATGTGCTATGGTGAGTGCTGCGAACTGTGTAAGCCTGACGATTCACAGATCCGTACCCCTGAAGCAAATAATACTTATATGTTAATAAAAAAAAAAAAAAGCAGAATATAACCTTTTGAGATTCCCAATCATTAGGGTCGTCTGGTATCTTTTTCCTTATAATAGTGCATGTCGAGAAATACTTTTTTCTGACATATCTTTTAAAAAACCAGGTCTTTTTTTTTTTTAACATTTGAAGAATAGAAATGATGCACATTAAATAAAAACTGATATTTAGAAGGTTATTAAAACTATGATTGGATGAATTATAATCAACTAAATGACCTCACCAACTCTAAATCCAGGGTAACCTGTCTGTATTTCCTAACAACACGCAGTGGGAGAAATTAGCACGGTGACCTCCCACTTCCGGGAGACCCAGATGAGGCTTCTGCAATAGGGCTTCAAAAACCAGTATGTGAAAGCCTCTTACCTCGAGCTTGTGAGCCCTCTCCCTGCTTAGGGGCTCCAAGGGAAAGCTCAGGTTGTTTGCTTCTGCCAGAGAACGAAGATCAAAATAATACTTGGCATAAACACTGGAAGGAACGTTGATGTTGAACTGCAGCAATTCCAGAAACTGTCGCTCCAGCTCATTCCTGCAAGCAAAACAGCAAGAGCACACGTTTAGCTGCGCTACCGGGCTGCGTGACCCACCACGGCAAGGTGCCAGAGACGAGACTCGAGGAAACTGCGACCTCCAGAGAGTAAAGCCATTCAAGTAACTGCCTGGCTGGACACCAGAGTTGCAGTTTAGCCACCAAGTAGGTATTAAAAGCCAAATGATCAAGTGCCCAGAAGGATGAGGCCTGATTAGCCGGGGGGACCACCAGCAAGTGCTGAGGGTGATGCGTCTCCCAGAGACCTGACCGCACGCACAGCAGCTCCGGCTGCAAACCCCAGCACGATCCACCAAACACGGGGCAGATGAAGCAGTCGAGAGCAGCCAAGTGGAGTCTGGCAAGGGGCCAAGACAGGGGCCCAGGGGAAAAGCCTCTGTTACCCCTAGAGGCCCGTCTTTCCTCAGTGGCCCTTCCCTGGGAGAAGAGTGGAGGAAGTGCGGTAGGGGCCTCCCGGGCAAAGCGGGGTGTGGGAGAATGAATCACAGCCCTGGACTCACAGAAAGGGAACCCGCCAACTCTGAAGAATGAGAGCAGTAAGGCCCACACCTGAGCACGTGTCTAGTCCCGCGGAGGGCCTGTCAACATGGACTGAGGAGCCCACCCCAGGGCCTGGTGCAGCAGGGCTGGGGTGGGCCTAAGAACGTGTCTTTCTAACAAGCTCCCTTGGGATGATGACACGGCTGGTCTCAGCCCAAACTTCTAGAACCACTCACGCCCAGACACAGGTATTAAGATCCAACTGGCCAACCCATTTATAGTTTGATGGAAATGAATGATGGGTAGCCAGAATAAATTTTAAAACTTCTATTTGGAGACCTTCCCCATGTCGATTATCTTTTAGATCAGGTTCATTTCTTGACAGTTAGTACCTGGAGGGAGAAAAGTCCTCAGCGATGGCTCAGTTTGTTGAGCACTAGTCCCAGGTCGGGCACGCACTTTCAGCATCGTCTCCCCCTCGAAGCACCCTGTGCTCCCAAGCACACTACACAGCCCTCAATTTCTGTCCTTTATCAGACTCCACCACAAGTGTCACCTTAACTCAGTGTCCCTGCCTGTATCCTCCTAGCCAGAAACTGGGCCACCTGGCCCCATCACAGTACCTGATATACAGCTAGTATTCGATAATTACCCTTACTGAATGGAGCAGGCCAAGCTCGGCTTCGGTGGAGGGGCGGAGGAAGGCCTCCCAGAGAAGTAAGAGATGAACTGAGTGTGAAAAAACACAGAGCTCTAGTGGAGAGGAACAAGGGTTGGGGCAGGGGATTTCTGGCAGGAGACCTGATCACCATCTCCTATAAGTGACTCTGAAGGCTGACAAACCCTGCCCAAGTGCTAGGCCTCACCCCAACTATCCCAGACCCCTCTCCATGGGCTCCACTGACACCGAGCCCCAAGTTCCAGATCCCGGATGCAGGCACCTGATGTTTTGTAGCCTCAGACTAACTCAGCACCATCCTGTCCCCATGGTGTACGCGAGAACTCGTCTGTCCACCCCCGGTGAGTCACCTCCCTAAGCCATCAGAGACAGAAAGGACTCTGTCCCAGTCTTGTGCTGCTGTGACAGCAAGGGACAGGAGCACCGAGGTGGTGGGGAAGGCAGGCTGGGATCTGAGCAAGACTGGTCAGACAGAGAAGGTACTGGGCGAATGCGAGTTGCTACAGAAGATTCGTGGTCCTCAGTCGGGAGGACTGAGAAGTCACATTCAGGTATTTTCATCAGAGAAACACCATGAATGTCGTTTCTATACAGTCTAGTGAATGGAGGTGACCTCCAAATGGGCATATCGTGCTAAATTTTAGTCTTTTAAAAAGAGTCTAAATTACTTTGACTTATTTAGGATAATTTTTACTTTAAATAACTTTTATTTATGCTTCCTTTAAATGAAATTTAACAAGAGATCATCCTGCAAAATACTAGAACTCAGCTAAGATTTTAACGAAACAGGAGTTAAAAATACTGCTAAGGCCAGAGGTGCCAAAACAAATGGGCTAGAAGGCGCTCTCCCTGGGGGACTGTGGGACAGCCCGGGGACAGACTGCCGACTGGTGGCCAAAGGCGCCACTGCAGCTCTTACTCTCTGGAGGCTAAGAAAAACTCGCCTTTTTCCGACAGCTAGTCTGGTACTCCTGGCCCGGAGGGATGCAAGGTAGCAGTGACTCTTGTTGAGGGGATACTCTCTGACTAAAGTCAAGAGGAATCTCTTTCTGAACAAGGTGGCATTTTCCTCAAGGTTCCTTGGGAAAAAATAGTCTTTCTTGGGGGGGTTTCTTTTTTAAGCTCTGAGGGAAATATGGGCCTTAGAGCTGCTGTGCTTTCTAACTAAGGCAAGATTTAGCAAACAAAAGTAATTCCCAAAGTCTGAATTCCCAAACTGCAGTGGGACAGCTTCCAGGGACATGTGACAGCTTGCTACATGACAAATCACAAGAAACTCTCCTTACTCCATTTTAGAGGCCCCTTCACAAGTTGTGAATTGTGCTAATTCAGTTGGGTTTCTTTACAGTTTTGATTTAATATAACATGTATTTCTGAATATATTTGTTTACAGATTTGAATTTAGTTCTTATAAATTTTTAATCAGAACGATTTTCTCATGACTTGCTGTCGAGGGCAGTAATTCCATCAAGCCTGTTCTCTCTGTTGTTTTTATCATCTAAACATTTACCATCTATCTCTTTTCTGGAAAAATGGGTTCACTTTACAAAACCAGCCACTAACAGCCTAGCAATCCCACTTCTGGGCACAGACGCAAAGAACTGGAAGCAGGGACTCCAGGAGAGATCCGTGCACCCGTGCTCCTGGCAGCGCTATTCACAGCAGCCAAGGGGCAGAAGCAGTACAAGTGTCCAGGTGTCCAGCAATGGGTGAATGGATAAACAAAACAGAGTATGTACAAGGACTGTAATATTTTTACCTTAAAAAGGAAGAAAATTCCAGTATGTGCTGCTACACAGATGACCCCTGAGGACACCATGCTAAGTGAAATAAGCCAGTCACAAAGAGACAATACTGGGCAAGTTCGCTTCTGTGAGGCATCCAGGGTAGTGACATTCAGAGACAAAGCAGAACGATGGCCAGGGGGAGGGGGATGTGGGGACCTAGTATTTACTGGGCACACAGTTTCTGGTTGGTGATCGTTGCACAACAATGTGAATGCACTTAATGCCACATAACTGTACACTTAAAAATGGCTAAAATAGTCAATTTTATGCCATGCATATTTTACCACAATTAAAACTGAAAACCAAAGACCAGGCACCCTACACCATGGAGGGTGGGAGGTTTTTGCTGCATCTTTCTGCTATGCAGCACTGAAACCAGTCTCTTGGAGCTTTCCCATTGAGATCGGGAACACAAAAAGGATGCCCACTCTATCCACTGTTGTCCAACATAGTACTAGAAGTCCTAGCAACAGCAATCAGACAACAAAAAGAAATAAAAGGTATTCAGATTGGCAAAGAAGAAGTCAAACTCTCTCTCTTCACAGATGACGTGATACTTTATATGGAAAACCCAAAAGACTCCACCTCCAAACTCCTAGAACTCATAGAGCAATTCAGTAACATGGCAGGATACAAAACTGATGCAAAGAAATCAGCTGCTTTATTATACACTAACAATGAAACTGTAGAAAGGGAAAATTAGAGAATTGATTCCATTTTTATAATAGCTCCAAAAACCGTAAGATACCTTGGAATAAACCTAACCAATGAGGTAAAAGATCTATACTCGAACTACAGAACACTCATGAAAGAAACTAAAGAAGACACAAAAAGATGGAAAAACAATCCATGCTCATGGATCGGAAGAATAAACATTGTTAAAATGTCTATGCTGCCCAGAGCAATCTATACTTTCAATGCCATTCCGATCAAAGTATCATTTGGCATTTTTCAACGTGCTGGAACAAACAATCTAAAATTTGTCTGGGACCAGGAAAGACTCCGAATCACCAAGGAAATGTTGAAAAAGAAAAGCAAAGCTGGGGGCATCACGCTGCCTGATTTCTCCTTATTTCAGATTCCTTGTTTATATTTGAAAATTACTCTTCCAAGGTTACTGCAAAACAAAAACAAACCAACCCCAAAGTTTAATTTCTTTTAACAGCATTTTTGCCTGTCAAAGTTCATCCTCCCTTTCCCATGCATAGCAAATGCTCATTCTCGAATATTCCACCTTACACAAAAGCTGACATGTGGTGGTATGACCACTTACTGTTGGCAAGACAGAAAGAAACAAAGCTGGCCCATGGCCCTATCTTACCGCACAACGTCAGCCTGAATCTGAAGTCTGACTGACTGACGCTGGTGGCCCCAACGGTCTACCTGCAAGTTTCAGTGACACTTGTCTTAAAATGTTCTTCAACCTGCGTTCCCAGCCATTTGCGCACATGATCAGCTGCCTTCCAAGCCAGAACCCCACTGTCTGAAGGTGGAAAGGACTCCAAGTCCAAGTCCTTAACTGTTGGATGATTCTTTAGCTGGAAATGAAACTGGGCTCAGAAACATCAGGAAGGTTACATCAGGATGCTAGGACACAGGCAAGGCCACAAAGAAGGGTGCAGAAGGAGACAGAAGTACAGATGCCTGGAAAGAGCACCAACACGCACATTTTTATAAAGCTTCCCATCTGAAACTTGGGAGTCGTCTCCCCACTAAGGAGCCCCAAGGGAAAGCTTAGGGTGCCTCTGCCAGGAAATGAACACTTGCTACTGCCATGAGACTAACACAGTGCCAAGTGCCAGAGCCTCTAGTTTCCAGCGATGTCCCACGCTGCTCCCTCTCCCCAGACAGGGTACCTCGCAGCCATTGCTGCCCCCAAGTTCATATGGTTTGACTGAAAAAGACTGAAATCAAGCACTCATTTTTTAATATTCGAACAGGAAATCTAGGATTCTGTACAGATGCTACAAAGTAACTTAAAGCTCCCTCCACAAGCGTGGTTCAGCCACACGACCCCCTGAATGGCTTCTTGAACACATCAAATCTCATTCCTTCTCAATAAAGTTTACTGGATGTGTTAGTTTGCTATTGTAGCAAAATATCCCAAGACTGCCCTTCTGTCTGCTTCCTATAACCTAATCTCTTGTTTAGGACACATCATGTTTGACTAAGGTCTATTCTAATGACCTCATTTTGACTTAATTACTTCTTGAAACACCTGATCTCCAAATACGGTTACACATTGAGGTACTAGGGGTTAGGACTTCACATGTGCATTTGAGGGAGATGCTACTCAGCCCTTGACACTCTATCTTCTAGCCCCTCAAAATTCACATCCACCTCACATGCAGAAAACATTCACCCCCTCCCAACAGCCCAAAAGCCTCAACCCATTTCAGCATCAACTCCAAGTTCAAAAATCTCAACTAAATAAGGTATGGCTGAGACTAGAGGTCTGATTCGTCCTGAGGCAAAATTCCTCACCAGGTGTGAACCTGTGAAGCTTCCTCACTGTGGAAGTTATCTGCTTCTGAAGTACAATGGTCACACAGGCATAGACAGACGTTCCCGTTACAAAAGGGAGAAATCAAAAAGTAGAAAGGGTTCTTAGGTCTCAAGCCAGTCTGAAATCTAGCAAGGCAAATGCATTTGATTTTCAGGCTTGAGAATAATCTTTGGCTGATGCTCTAGCATCCAGCCCAGTGAGAGGGGGAGCCCTGCCACTGGGCTCTCTTAGCCAAGGGCAGCAGCCCACATCCTAGCTGAGGGGGAAGCAGCCTCAGCCCTGCCCACTTGCAAACTGCCTCCATGGTCATTTTCCCTTTTTAAGGATAACATGTCAGAGTAGACAGGTCTTCTGGAGAATCCTAAAGTTTGACAGCCTTCCTTCATTTTGTCCTGTCTTGTCCCCTTCAGTTTAAACTGGCAGCACTTCTGCTGGGATGACTGATTGGAACACCAAGCCACACTTGTAATCTCTTGAGCAAATACTGTACAGCCACACCATCACTGTTCTCTCCAGAGCACGCTTTCTCATTTTTTGCAATAGGGATAAGCAGAGGTTGGAAAATTTTAGTTCTTCCAAATCTCCAACATCTGGTCCCTTCTCGCTTAACAACTCCTTCTTCAATTTCTCTCTCCTCAGATTTTATTAGAGGCAGCAAGGAGAAACCAGGCACGGTTTCTAAACACTCTGCTTAGAAATCTCCTCAGCTAAATATTCGAGTTCATTCTCGAATATTCCACCTTACACAAACACTAGAACACAACTTGGCCAAGTTCTTTGCCACTGTGTAACAGGTATTGCCCTTGGTACAGTGCCCAGCAGCATGTTTCTCATTTCTGACACCTCACTCCAGGAGCACCTTTAACAGTCCTATTTCTAGCAACATTCTGTTTGCAGTAAATGTCTATGTCTAAGATTGAGAGAAGCTTCCTCTAAAGCTCTCTGCTTTCTGAGTCCTCATCAGAATCACCTTTCTCAACCATGTCTCTACCAACCAGCTCTTCAAGGTAATCTAGGATTTTTCTAACATGTGCCTCAAAATTCTGGAATCTTCTACCCATTAGCTAGCTGCAATGCCACCTCCACATCTCTAGGTAACTGTCAGAGCAGCACCCCACTTGCCAGTATCAAGTCTGTGTCAGCCAGCAGGGGCTGCCATAATATAATACCACAGACTGGGGGGTTTAAACAGCATTAACTGATTTTCTCACAATTCTGGAGGCTGGAAGTCCAAGATGGGGGTGCCGGCAGCAATGCATTCTTCTGAAGCCTCTCTCTTGGCCTGCAGATGGCCATCTTCTCTCTGTGTCCTCGCATGGCTGTCCCTCTGCCTGTGTGGTGTCTCAGTCTATTATATTAGGGCCTGCCCTCCTGACCCTGTTTTAAATCAATTACCTCTTTACAACCTTAGCTCCATATACAGATACATTCTGAGGCAGTGGGCCTTAGGCTTCAACACAGAAATTCTCAGAGAACACAATGCGGCCCATAACACTGGCTATCTGCTGCAGCGCTCAGCGGGGCACTGGGCTTCGTGCTGGTCTAACCCTTACAATACACAAATGCTTTCTCCAAGTGTGCCTAAAAACACAACAGCATCAGGGAACAGATTTCTAGATCTGTAACTTTCATTTCTCACTGTTAGAACTGACTTGCCCAAGAACACATCAAGTATGTAGGTGCTCCTTCTGGCTCCTCCCTTCCCATTCTTTTGCTCTGGGAGAGAAAGGCAGGCTGCTCACCCTCCCTGAGGTTGCCCTCCCCCCCATGTGAAAGACCTGCATGGTGGGGCAAACATCGGATTACCAAGCATCTGCTCTTTTCATCTTCCTCTGAATTGCCCCTGTCCCCTTTGAAGCCCTAGGCCTCTATCCCATTCCTGAGCTTAGATGGCCTCACTCGCCTGAGTGGCTTTCAGTCTCATATTTTTATGGGGCTCCCATATGTACAAAATTAAATTTGTTTTTCTCCTGTTGGTCTTATGTCAATTTAATTATTAGACCTAAAAGAACCTAAAAGGGGGAAAAAGGGAAAATTTTTGTTCCTTACATACATACATCACCAACACAAACAGGAAAAGGCAACCATGATGTCATTCCTACAACATACAACTCAGTGTCAAACGGTATCACGGAGTTGACGGAGTAACCCCCCAATAAAGGAAATGAGTCAGAACTTCTTACCACCTTGCTCTTCTGTGGTCCCGATGACAATTATTTTAGTAGTTGTTTTCACTTTGAAATATAATCAAGACTTTCATTTTTCTTACTATCAAAAACTTCTTTACACTTGTCCTATTTTTTTTATAATAAAGAATTAGAGACACAGGAAGGAGTTTTATAGGTCTACAGCAGAAATAGGCTCTGTAACAAAAGACCCAAGAACACAAACTAGAGTGCCTCACAGGGTACCCCCAACATGGGGTCCCATCTAATCAGTAACCAGAGGCAAGGAGGGCCTTAGGTTAGTGAAGAACCCAAGGTGCCCACATGACACCCCCACCAGCAGCCTGCACAGGCACTGTGAGACCCCACATTCCCAGGATTACTGGGTCCAGGAACACGGAGGTGGAGGCGCGGCTGGGAAGCTCTTCCAGACTAAAGCTTCCTCAAGGAAGCTGTAACAAACAATATTAGAAAAATTTTAGCAAGAAGTGTCAGAAGTACTAAAAACCATATGGAACTGTAGATAGTTTATCCTGATTATTTTCTAAAACAGCTCCTTTGTCCTAAGAGGCTCTAAACCTATTTCCTGTATTCCCAGGCCCTAGACATCACAGACAATAGGCCTGCAGGTCTCCAGTTAACAAGCCTCACCTAAATCTAAGGACTGAACCATCTGAGAAATCCCAAGACTGCCCTGAGAGCTATGGCGATGGACCCCCTTCGCCCCTCAAGCTTATGGCGCCTCCACTGAGCTGAGGCTCTGAGACCAGCTGGGGGAGAACATGCAGCCTTGATGAGATCCATGAGAGGACCCACGGACAGAATGAGCAACTGAACTGGCGAGTTCTCTCCGAAATGAAACAGAAACATACTATTTTAGCTCTTCTGCTTTTGGGGGAGGCTGCTGCCCACAAAAGACTGGTGTGGGACATTGTTATGAGTCTGCAGTGAGGTACAGAGCCAGAATAGAAGCCATCATAGTCTTTACCTTTCTGATGAAGGTAAAGGAATGTCTGTCCACAATAGAGTCTCAGTAACTAGTTTTACAAAATCAAAAAGTGTAACCAGTACCTGTTCATGATCCTAACGCAGAGTAGTACAGGTGTTTGCATGTAATGTTCCACAGCTGTGTCCTTGTTGTACCCACTCACGAGAGACCTTCAGTCAAATTCATTCCCTCTCTACCACACAGACCATTCAGAGGGACACGGTTCCTTCCCAAACAGTGCCTCCCCTCGTCCCCACGCCAGCACACACACTCACATGTCCTCCACCGTGATGTCTTTCAGGATCTGACAGTAGTCCACATTCCACACAGCCTGGTCATCCCAAACCTTGGAGGCCAGCAGGATCGCCCCTAGAACAATCCGCTTCCAGTTGGCCGGACAGATGTCTATCTCTGCATACGTTAAAAGTCTTTCAAGGTATACCTGGGAAGACATGAAAATGCCAGAGCTAAAGGACTTGACTTGTTTTTGTCCTACATACTAGCATATATAAATTCTAAAACCGCCTGACTCCATTTTAACAGCTACTTTAAGCAGGGATTTATCCCCTGATCATACCTATTTTTAAAAAGTCAGAGGGCTCAGCTAGTGTGATGGGAAAGGGACACCGTCCATAAATGAACAGTGTGGATGTAGCTGGATCACAAAAGACTGAGGCAAGCACAAACTCCAGATACCACAGGTTAATTTCTCACTCATATCACATCAACTACAATATCAATACAGATTCAACACAATAGTACAAATTTCAACAAACAGTGTCAAAGGAGCAAAGAGATTCTTCTCTATCTCGTAAAGTTCTTATTTTGAGGTAATTATTAATTTACACACAGCCATCGATAAACCTATTTTTTATTATTGTGGTAAAATATACATAACATTTACCATTTAGCCATTTTTAAGTGTACAGTTCTGCAGCAGTAAGTACATGCACATTGTTGTAAAGTCACTGCCCATCTCTGTCCCCAGAGCTTTCTCATCATCCTGAACAACTCCCTGATCCCCTTCCCCCAGCCTTTGGCAACAACCATTCTACTTTGTCTCCATGAATTTGGCTACTCTAGGAATCATTCAATATTTGTCTTTTTGTTCTGGCTTTTCTCATCTAGCATGTCCTCAAGGTTCATCAAAGTATGTAGCATATATTAAAATTTCTTTCCCTTTCGAAGCTGAATAATAATCCACTGCCTGTATATATCACATTTTGTTTATCCATTTTTCTATCAATCGACATTTGAGTTGTTTCCACCTTTCGGTTATTGAGAATAACTGGTGTACAAGTACCTGTTTTGACTATCTGCTTTTGATTCTTATGGGTACAGACAGAGAAGGAGAACTGCTGGGTCATATAATTCTATGTTTAATTTTTTAAGGAACTACCATACTATTTTTCCATAGTACCTAGGCCACTTAACATTCCCACCAGCAATACACAGGGGTTCAATTTCTTGATATCCTTGCCAACACCAGTTATTTTGTTTTCTGTTGTTGTTGTTGTTTTTTTAATAATAGTCATCCTAATGTGTGTGAATTAGGTATTTCACTGTGGTTTTGATTTGATTTCTAAATGAAATAATTTTAGCTGAAGTTGGAAAATGAAACCCAGTAACATAAGATTTATAAACTGGCAAAATTTAGCTTGAAGACAGATATCAGAAATACCCACAAAGTGCTTTTGCTTACTTTGGTTCACAAGGTAAGAATTTCTCTTGAAGTTTTCCTTCTATTTATCAGCATGTTTTATACTTCTCTGAGCCATGGAATTATTATTTCTATAGTTTATCAAACACATTTTATAAATGTGATGAAGGTAAAGGAATGTCTGGAACTACTGTATCAGAACCTTCTCACACCATTGGTGGGAATGCAAGTTGGTGCACCCACTTTGGAAAACTGTGTGGAGATTCCTCAAAAAATTAAAAAATAAAGCTACCCTATGACCCTGCACTTACACTACTGAGTATTTACCCCAAAGATACAGATGTAGTGAAAAGAAGGGCCATCTGTACCCCAATGTTCACAGCAGCAATGGCCACAATCACCAAACCGTGGTAGGAGCCAAGATGCCCTTCAACAGACAAATGGATAAAGAAAATATGGTCCATATATACAATGAAGTATTATGTCTCCATCAGAAAGGATCAATACCCAATTTCTGTATCAACATGGACAGGACTAGAAGAGATTATGCTGAGTGAAATAAGTCAGGCAGAGAGAGTCAATTATCATATGGTTTCACTTACTTATGGAACATAAGGAATAACATGGAGAATATTCAGAGAAGGAAAGGAAAAGTGAATTGGGGGAAATCAGAGGGGGAGACAAACCATGAGAGACTGTGGACTCTGAGAAAAAAACTGAGGGTTTTAGAGGAGAGGGATGGGGTGAGCCTGGTGATGGGTATTAAGGAGGGCATGTATTGCATGGAGCACTGGGTGTGGTGCATAAACAATGAATCTTGGAACACTGAAAAAATAAAACTAAAGAAACAAAATGAATCATATATAAACTTTTAAGAACCTGCTTTCTAAAACAGATAAATCTAGATAGTGTTAAATTTTTCATAGTTTATAATGTCCATAAACTCTTAAATATCATGTAATTTTTTAAAAGGCATCTGGTGGGGGGCAGGGGCAGAGGATGTTCCTGGTTGGCTCCATCTGTTGAGTGTCCAACTCTGGTTTTGGTTCAGGTGTGATCTTGAGGTCATGGGATCAAGCCCCATGACAGGCTCCACACTTGTCCCTCTCCCTCTCCCCATCCCGTCCCCAGCTTGCACTTGCGTGCTCAGTCTCTCTCTAAAATTAAAAAAAAAAAAAAAAAAAATCTTTTTTTTTTTTTTTTAAGATTTTATTTATTTATCTGACAGAAATCACAAGCAGGCAGAGAGGCAGACAGAGAGAGGAGGAAGCAGGCTCCCTGCTGAGCAGAGAGCTGGATGCGGGGCTCGATCCCAGAACCCTGGGATCATGACCTGAGCTGAAGACAGAGGTTTTAACCCACTGAGACACCCAGGTGCCCCTAAAAAAAAAATCTTAAAAAGGGAAAAAATGTTAACACAAATACACAAATAAAGATAATTATCAGTTAAATATCAATACTCATAAATGAGATGGTAAAGTCCACACCTGTTACGTCACCACAGTCTGGAGAGGAGACTGCACTTTGGGAAATTCTGAAGAAACAGGGCAACTAACCAAATGATTGAGAGAAGTTCACTAAATGACATTAATCTGTCAACAGAAGCACAGGATAATGCCAGAAGCAGACTAAGAATTATATAACACAGGACCCACAAGATGAGAATAGATACATCAGAGGTGGTGTTAAACCCCTGAACTTAAGCCATGGCTCCCTGTGTAACAGAGCAGCGACTATGTGCCAGGCGTGGGGCCCATCACTGGAGACACAGGAGTGAGGTACCAATGGCTCTGGCCGCACAGTGGAAAATGGGCTGGAAAGGAGCACAGCTGATAGGCATGAGAGACTCTGCCGCAGTCGGGATAGGAAGATCAGGGTTTGAACCGGGGACATGACAGGAGAGACTGACAGTCCTATCAGACCAACCTAGAGTCCAGTGACCCCCGACAACCAAGAAGGTGAGCTGCTGCAGGAGACCTGAGGCTTCCAGCTCGTGCAGCTGGATGGGCAATGCCTTCTGAGACGGGGAGCCCTGTTGGGGGAAGACAGTTACAGGTGGACAGCCCAGAGGACGTTCGCCATGTAGGCGGTGCACACACACCTTGTGAAACTCGAAGAAAACAGCACTCAGAAATGTGAGTATCTGCGGCACATGAACAGAATTAAGCATGGATCCCAAGGCCTGGGGAGACAGCTTAGGGAGAGAGAAAAGGAGGGGCCAGACCAGAGCCTTAAAAGCCCCTCCTGTTTTAACATCTGGAGAGAGAGTAAGGAGGCAGCAAAGGAGAGGGAGGAATAAAATCTGGTATGTTCTGCTCTTAAGATGTTTAATACTTTGGAGAAAAAGCTACAGGGCAGACAGAGGTGTTTCTAAGTAGCTGCATTAGGCTTACAATATTATACAGGGCTTATAAAAAGGAAATTGATCTCTTTCATAGTGAAAAATAAAAGATGTAAAAACACTTCAGGCAGTGACTGTGTGGGTAGAGAGGGGTGAGGAGGCCATGGGGGTGGGGTACTAAGAAGGGAGGGTAGGGAGAGAGAGGGAAAAGGGGAGAGAGGAGGAGAAAGAGAGGAAGGGAGGAAAGATGGAAGAAATGAACCTTAATGGAAGCAAAACTCTAGGCCAATAAAGAAAAGTCAGATCAGGGGCTCCTGGGTGGCTCAGTCAGTTAAGAATCTGACTCTTGATTCTGGTTCAGGTCATGATCTCAGGGTTTATGAGATCAAGGCCTGAGTCCTGCTTCACGCTCAGCACAGAGTCTGCTCTGTCTCTCCCTCTGCCTCCCCCTCATCTCTAATAAATAAATAAATAATTTTTAAAAAGAAAAGTCAAACCATCAGCTAGCAGCAACTCCACAGAGCTTCCCATGGTTCTCCTGATCCCTAAACCACAGGCAGAGAAGAGTCCTACACCGCCTCCAAAGCAGCAGGGGCTCCCTTTTGGCTTCTGTGGCCAGCTCGTACCAGCCAACTGTCTGTGAAACAGGTGCACGGTCAACACCCAGGGAGTCTGCTGCTCCCACTGAAACAGGGGTTCTTCCAAGATAGGGAGAGGGGGTGGCTGGCACTCAAATGTTTGCTGAATGAGCAAATAGATGAGTAACAGTTCTTTTGCTTAAGAAGGGTTATTATTCCACTTTTAGTCCTTTATTAATGAATAAACAATTTTTTAAATCTTAAAAACCTAGACTCTTAAAGCTAACCTCAGATACCAGGTGTTCCCAAGAATGGATCAAGGGGGTACTATACTAAAAGCCAAAATCATGAGAAGAAATTACTAATATATTTCAAATTCCAGATAGCCAATAAACTGCTAAGAAGTCCAGTCTTAAATATACTGGAAAGTAATGAAACAGGAAACCATTATAGGGCAGGTCTACATTGATATACCAGCAAATTAGTTTGGGTGACCCTTCCACTTACCCCACATCCCCCTGGCTGTGTTTTTCTGAGTATAGTGTAGGTAGTTGCCTTCTCAGTCTCTCCACCTAGTAAACCCTAAGTTCCCTGAGGACAATGACCGCGTCTCATTCCCACTTGTGTGCCCAGCATCTAGCCCAATGCTAGGAAAGGGTGTAACCTCAGAGTGCTTGATTCATGGACACATCACCCACGTAAGAGCTCTCGCTCTGGAATCTGGCAACAAGAGGGTACATTTTCATATGAGGGACTGAGGTAAGAATGAGGCCACAAAGAATGGCATCCCAGAAAGGGAACTGCATTGACAAAGGCAGAGTAGATTTAAAAGTGACACTGAGCCCATGGTTTGTGAGCCAGGT